GACACGCGCTCTACACGCGACGACGGGGGAAGGAGGAGCTCGTCGTCGGCGTGTATGTGGATGACTTGATCATCATCGAGGCACAAGAAGGGGACATCAACGGCTTCAAGCGCGAGATGGCAGCTCATTTCCGCATGAGCGATCTCGGACAGATCTCCTACTACCTCGGCATCGAGGTGAAGCAGGGGAGATACTCCATCACTCTCTGCCATTGTGCGTATGCGGGGAAGCTGTTGGAGTGGAGCGACATGGTTGACTACAAGTCATGCGCGACTCCGATGGAGGAGCGGCTGAAGCTGACGAAAGCCACACCGTGGGGAAGGTGGATGCAACACTCTACCGGAGTATCTTCGCCGTAGGCTATGTCAGCTGCTTCATGGAGGAACCCTGAGAGGATCATTGGGCTGCAGTAAAACGGCTGTTGCGCTATGTCAAGGGGACAGTAGACCAGGGCATCATTTTTCCCAAGACCGGCGGCGGAAGTGGGCTGCGGCTCACGGTTTTTAGCGACGCAGACATGGCAGACGACATTGATGGGCGGAAGAGCACCTCCGATGTGCTCGTCTTCCTTGGATCGGCCCCAATCTCATGGCAGTCGCTAAAACAGAAGATCGTGGTGCTGTCTACGTGCGAGGCGGAGTACGTGGCGACAGCCACAACGGCGTGCCAAGCGGTTTGGCTGCGTCGGTTGCTGCGCGAAGCGAGGAAGCTCGTCCACCAGCTCTGATGGTGGACAACTAGCCCGCCATTGCCCTTGCAAAAAATCCAGTCCTCCATGACCGGAGCAAGCACATCGATACTCGTTTTCACTTCATCTGTGATTGTGTAAAAGAAGGACAAATTGTTTTAGAGTTTTTCGAATTCGGACGGCAGCTCGCAGACATCGATTTTGTTGGAAAATCTAGGTTTTGACAAAAAATCTAGTTTACTGATACTTTACCAAGCCACTCGGCCGTCTTCGGTTCATGGAGCTAAGGACCAAGATTGGAATGGTAGGAAACAAGCAAGAACAGCAGGATTAGGGAAGAACTGTAAGATATATAATCCATGCAGTTTCCTTGTTACTGCACTGCAACTTCCTTGCAGCTGCAGAGCACTTTCATGGCAACTATTTTAAGACTTTTCAGCTTAAGTAATTTTTAGGAAAGTCACTAGGGTAGTTGTTTTTAGTTCTTATAAATAGGGATGCAATTTTTATTTGTAAACATATAGAAAAACTGAATACTCAATACATTGAGTTGTTCACAATCTTCTCTCCCATCCTAAAAGTGTCCGTTTGTGCCAGAAGCTTTTTGCTTACTTGAACAGTGCAACCCAGCTGCAAACAGAGCAGCTAAGCTGTGAACGAGCAGGGACTAATAAGTAAATGGTAGATTAATTTATGTAACGCATATTATCATAATAGATCATATATACTATATATACTATTAACTGATAAATAAAATCGTATCATGCATATTGTTTTAGTGAATAACTTAAAACAAAATATTCCTTTTACGACTATATATTATCACTTAACTAATAATTATTTTCCACAAAAAAATGATATTTTGTATGTTGAATAACTGTTTTTCTTTCACTTAAACATATACATGTTCACTAAATTGTGTTTCTTTAATGTTTTTAATACTATAACAAAAATATCTATAGTAAAATAGGATATTTTGAAATTAAAGATGATAATTTCAATGGTGCATTATATATTATACACTTATGAAATAAAATATATTTTACTTACAAAACCTTAAAATAATATTCTCTTTTACATTTAAAAACTACATTTGCGTAAATTTTATTCCTTTTTTTATTTCTAATTTATATATTTGTTTAGATAATCTTAACGCTTTTATATAAACTAAAAGAAATTAAATTATTAAATAGGTAAAAAATATAATAAAAAAATAATAAGATAATGGATAAAATTTAAAAAAAAAAAAGTAGAATGAAAAACCAGTTGATTGAAAAAATGATTGTAACTATTAATATTTGTAACTCCCTCATAGTTATGACAAAATGACATTAATAACCTTATAAATATTAATTATAGCGTATGGAATTTTCGGCAATTCAAATTTCTTAAGAAACAACTCTCCCTTATAAGATAGTTATTTCATGTTCAACTTCAATCCATTTCAATTATTCTAGGGATTTAAAATCCCGAATGGAAAAAATGAGTTGAGTTTATTTTGCTTAATTTCGATTAAATCAAAAAAGAAAGTAGATTGATTATTACATAAAAGTTCTATTTTTACTTATAAAAGATTGAATACTATCGTATTAACTTGTTACACATGATATATACTTCAGTGGGTTTTTACTAAATTTTGAAAAAATGACAGTGAACATTCATGACCATTAAATTATAATTAATATTAAAAATATATCTTAGATTAGAGTTGATAACAATGATTTGTAACTCATTTGCCCACATTTAATTAAACGAGTAAAACATTCTAAACGTTGAAAATAGGCTACACTACAATTATTTATCACATATCAAATAATCATATGACATTAAATTGGAAGTATTAATTTTTACTGAATGATAGAAGGTCCTAAATTATAGTTTATTTTTTAAAATTTAAAAATAATAAACTCTTCATTAGATGTAATTTATTTTATAACTATAAAGACATATATGAGTAAACATTTCAAGACATAGTGATGAAAATAAACATTGATGAAGGTAATTTTTAAATAATACATATTGCTAATTATAAAGAACATTTATTATTTGGCTTAATACTTATTATTTCTTATATATATTTCTAATTTTTCTAAATTTTGGAAGCATCATAGTACTTTTTCTAATTTTTGTCTATTTCACAAGAAAAATATCCACATCCACAATAAATAATGAAAATGCAACCACGATAAAACAAATATTTAGTATAATGTCACAATACTAAAATATCCAAAGAAATAATGAAGATGCAGTAAATGCAGTAAATATCCAAAAGTTACGCTTTTTTTTTACTTAAGTGTAATTGGAGTTTCAGATTAAATGAGTAACAAGTAAATATATAAGTTATAATTTATTATTTTGACTCTATTTTGATTGCTTATAGGACAACTACATTATAATAAATTAATAAGAATAAGTTTGTATAATAATTTTCTTTTAGTTGCCTATTACTATCCAAATAAAATATACAAAAATTCTATAAAAATAAAAATAATAGATATCAATATTAAGTTATTTTAATGAAATATTAATTTTTAAATTTATTAATTATAATATATGATATACATCTCCTACAATCCAAATAAAATACACAAAAAATAAACAAAATAACATAGTAAAATAAAAATTGGATATTAATCAACAATTATTTTAATTAAATGTTATTCCCTTCTTTTTTCTCAAAATCCATTAACTGGTTAAGTTATATGAACTGATTTTACCTCGAGTGCAATTTTAGAGAGACGTGAAAGCTATGAGTAGCCGTCTAGTATATTTGTAAATTTTTCATTATTAGCTATAAAATGTAATATTAATATACATAAAAAATATTCACTATTTTTTCCTCATTGTCTTTTATAAATAAAAACTAATTAAAGATTTTGGATACGTGCCAGAACCGTGACTTTTGCTCCTTTTCTCTTTTTGCTCCAATCTCTTCCTTTTGTTTTTGAGCCCTTTTTGTGTTTCTCTTACCATTGGGTTTCATCTTTAGCCTACCCCAACTTGTTTGGGACTAAAAGGCTATGTTGTTGTTGTTGTTGTAAAGATTTTGGATACATTAGTGGATTTGTAATGTGAAAGCTTCTTACTACCTTTTCATGTTTTTGTCTAATTCACAAGACATACGAATAATAAAATAAAAATATGATAAAACATAAAGTAATTATAATGTCACAATACTAAAATATCAAAAAAATAAAATAAAATAATGAAATGCAGCAATATGATAAAGTATTAATTTATCATAATGTCATATTGAATAACAATTTCATTTGAAAAACATTTAGAGGACATATAAATTAGTGGCATGCAACAATTTATGATTGAAAATGACTAACAATTTAGAAGGTGATGCTCCAAAATGGGACTATGCATACTCTTTTCATAAATAAATTAATACTTGTAGATGATGAAGAATAATAGGATGCGATTAATGGAAATTTTATATGAATGAAAAATAATTATATATGATGAAGAGAAAATGAAAGAGTTGGAGACAATTTATTCATAATACAGAAGAAGGTGTGTAGTTGTAATGTGATTTCAACAAAAATTATAATATTACATTTATATCCTTCACACAAAAGTTATATTTCTTTTTCTTGAGGGTAGTATCGGCAATGCAAGTTTATATTTAAACGTGGTTGGATGAGTTACAAATCATTATTTCAACTCTAATTTAAAATTACAAATTACATTTATATCGTTTACAGTAACATCTTCTAGGTAACATGAGCAATTCAAAATTTTCAAGAAACCATTCATCCTTTTAAGCGAGTTATAGATATAGATTATATATTTGTCCTTTTCTCGTCCTTCATGTTTATACTGCCACTTAGGTTACTGATATCCAAGTCTTCTGAGTTTCTCATGAATTTCTGGTTTTATTTTGCATATTGATACAACGTACGTGGAAGGCTTTTGAATGGCAAATAAATTATCATAAAATACTTTCTCTCTTATGCCCATGCATTGCATGATTTCATAATTTACTATCAGAAATGCAGAACTGTCACGGTTGAAAAGTTTTATCTGTTTAATACCCATATTTGCTTATCATATTAAATACCTTTATACCACTTTCTCTCTTTTTTTTTTTTTTTTTGGCATATCAAAAGTCTGCAAGAGTTGAGTGAGAAGAATATATAATTGGAATGCCATGACATTTTTGAGGGAAATGGGATCTTATGGTCATACTGTACAGCATGTAGAGTGCTTTTTTTCTGTTGTGCTGCCTATTAAAAAACGTAAAATGCTCTTTATTGTTTCATTTCTATTCTAGAACCTATCAGTTATCTTGTTCCTTTTTTGCCAGGTGTGGTTGCATAAGCTGGATAGCGAGCAATCTTTAGATTCTTGTCTATATCATGAAAAGGATGACATGTTTTCTCTTGATCTTGTTGCTTCTGAGAGCAAGAAGTTTTTGTTTGTTGAGTCTGAGAGCAAAATTACAAGATTTGTCTTTTTCCTTGACGTTTCAAAATTTGAAAATGGGCTAATTGTTTTGACACCACGACTGGATGGGATAGACACGTCAGCAAGTCATCGTGGATATCACTTTTTTATTAAACGAAGAAGTGATCAGTGTTTTAACTCGGAAATTATTGCTTGCCCATTGGATAATATATCGAATACCAAAGTTCTTCTTCCTCACCGACCAAGGTAACAACGTCCATATCCACTGTGCCTGTCTTTGGAAGTAATGAAGTAAGAATTTCCTTTCTTTCAGTATTTTATTAAATCATTTGAGCTTTAACTCACTTGGAAGCAAACATTGTGGACGCGTTAATTTGTTCTTGCATTTGGAATAAAACCTGAAGTTTTAATTGCAAAATGAACCTGCATTTGGTTGTAAATTCTTCAACAACTTATGTATCTGTTACCAATGTGATTAAGCTATGGGAAGAAAGATATATTGCGTAATATCTACTGGTGATTTAGAGAAAGTAAGAGTTTGTATGGTTATGTTTCAGTGTTCCAAATCTAGTTAATTTATTTAGTTTAGAAATGATTTTGAACATTTATTTTTTTTATTATGAAAATTTCTCCAGAGTTGGGGTAATATGTTGAATAATCTCTAGTCTCTTTGAAGAGAAGTAGTTAAGGCACGTCAACATATGTCAAAGTAAAAGTACTTCTCAAATTTATTCTGTAATAGATAGATGCCCTATCTGAGAAAATCATCAGGAAATACTTCAACCTTCAATCAGCCACTTGAGCAAGGAATAGGATTTTAATGAATTAATTAATAGCTTGAAGATTGTTGACAATTCTCCCGGCATAGTGTTAATAATGGACTAGATCAAAATGGCTCAATTAAATTCTAGTGCTTCTTCTATTAGTGAAGTTTCTAGAAAAAAATATATCAAACGACACAATGCACCTTGGGTCGCTACGGAAACAACCTCCTTGTATAATTACAAGGGTAAGGTCTGCGTACAACTGACCCCCCAGACCCCAACCAGTTGGGAATATACGGGGTATGTTGTTGTTGTTGTTGTAATGATTTAGTAGTCAAAGAAGAATGACGATAAAGATATATGGGATCTCAGTTGAACTCTTCCATTCTCGCCCTCCAGT